GCTCAGGTTGAAGCCAAGAAGGAGCATGAAGGAGCAGTGCAGCTGCTAGAGGTGAGTGAGTGTGAGCCTGCTTCTCTTCTTCTCTCCTTTGGAGTCACTTAATGGTGCATAGAGGGGGCTCTTTCAAGGTCTTGGTTTCCAGTGCCATATATACTGTGTAGCCCCTTTCCCACCACTGTGGGTAGGGGACGGCAAGACATTCACCAATCCCTTTGGATTTCATCTAGGGAGAGAAGGCAAAAAATCGTTGCCTCTAGTTGGCTCTGCAGATGTCTTCAATAGAGGGATCATTTTTTAAATGCCACCAAAACTCTGCAGAGGACAGCTGTGAATTTTAAAAATGAACCCCAGGCTAGAATGAGCAGGAGCAGCCCAACACATTCTAACCATTAGGGAAAGGGTACCATCGGTATTCGATGGCAAGTGGCAGACAAACCAAGCGATTCTAAGAGATCGTCTCTGAGCTCTTTTCCCATATAAAGGCTGTGTGGCATATAGTCAGCAGAAAGAAAAACAATCTTTTCTCACCCACTAATATATAGCTTTTTAACTAGACCTGTGATTTTGTTGGTGGAGAGTATTCACAGGTGAGGAAAAGTCCCTCTACTAGTGCAGATTGGCGCCTGCTCTAAAACATAAAGTCTTGGAAAATACTTGGGGGCACTGAGAGTTGAAATGACTTGCCCAAGGTCACGCGGTTAGCATGTGTTAGAAGCAAGTTTTCAACCCTGGGCTTCCTGAGTCCAAGACTGGCTCTCCAGCCACTATGATAGCATAGTTGGTTCTCCATCTGCAAAATAAGGGTTGCCAAACAAGGACCCCAGTGGGGGAGGGGAGAATGTCGTGATAAAAGGATAACCACTTGGAAAGGATGATCACTTTTGTGCTGCAGTTAGGATGCTTTGGGAGATATGAGTTGAACTAGATGGATGCTCAAGTCCCTTCCAATTCTGAAATTCTATGATTCTCTATTTACCAAGCACCCACTCATGGCTCCAAGCCGATTAAATAGACTTGCACCCTGCGCTTTGGGAACTTCTTAAAGATGGTTCCATGGATATTGTTAGGGGTACTGTTTTTGTGATAGCAAATGCATCTCCACCATTTGGAGAACTTTTAGTGAGTTTTCTCTCCAAACATTCCAGCTCTTTCTGTGGGTTATATTCTCTCCTTTGAGGACCTATTGGTTTCCAAGGCCCAGGATGGTGTGAATAGGACACCTACAGCATCCACCCCCATCTCCACGGCTCCTTCATCCATAATGGATGGGCACTAATGAGCACAGGGATTCCTACCTGCTTAAGACAAAGGTCATACCCTTAATGGTCTGCCATCATACATAAATTCATCAAAGGTCTAGACTTCCAGAATTCAGTGATCTTTACTAAAAGCCCACACTCCCCTGTGGCCTAATTCCATTAAGAAAGGCCAAAGGGTACTTGTCCGCCCTATCTCTAATCTCTAGGCCCTTTATACAGCTGCTACTTCCAGGCTGGACCTTTCCTTCAGCCCCAGGGAACATTGAAGCCATTAATGAAAACTTATCTCTTAGGTTGCCTTTCCAAGTCTATTCCTCCCCCAGGAGCAGATTTCATCATTCCTCTCCTACATATTAAAATTGATTTTTAAGCACTTATTAGATAATGAATCCCTAGTAGGAAGCCCGTGATGAATTATAAGGGGGGCTAGGGGCGGGAGCAACACCTAGGGAAATAAGGAACCCTCCAAATGGCCATTTATCTCCCTGAAAAATCACTGGGCTCTTCTTGCCTGAATGCTGCCCCACTCCCCTACCTTGTATCAGGCAGCCTCCATCTGCAATAATCTTAGAGATGGAAACTCACTGTTGCTTTTCCCAGCTGTGCTGAGGCCTGTTTGTTTGAAATTTTATATTGGTTTAAATCTGCTTTCTGAGATTTAGGCATTGTGCCAGAGTTTTGTTTTTTTGTTTGTTTGTTTGTTTTTGTTCATGTCATCCAGTATGGTTGGCCTGGTGCATGCTTTTATACATGGCCACTGTCTTAATTTTATTTTTTAAAGGTGGGAGATAAGGAAGGGAGGGGGAGAAAGGATCCAGATGTATTGAGAATTATCTTGTTTTGTTTTTTCATTTCTTTACCTCATCTCTCTATTATTGTGTCTTGCTGGGATTTTGCTTTGCTCCAGACCACCTTGGACAGCATGCAGGTATTTTGGAGCGTAATTTGTCCTCAACACTGGTGTGTGTTTGCCCTGAGTGCCTCCCCTTGCATGGAAGCCACTACAGAGACACTATGACCTGGGTCTGCTCAGAAGGCCTTCTGCATAGGTCAATGTGCTTACTCAAATAGGGGGTTGCTAGGGTTCTGTAACTGGGCTGTCACTCTGCCTGGCTCCCAATGGGAAAGGGGTCCTAATTCCTGCATGAATATGGGAAGCAGCTGTGGGGCACAGGAAATAGTAACTAAATTTAGACACAAGAAGATTTGGCTTCTGCCAAATCTTGGCTCTGCTACTGACTTCTGAGCAAGTGACTTCTGAGCCTCTGTTTCCTCATTTGTAAAATAAAGAGATTGAACTACATGACCTCTAAGAGCCCTTCAATCTCAAGACCTATGATTCTATGAATAATAAGTCCTAGATAAAGAAATATTATCAACATTATTCCCTGAGCAGACCCAGTGAACATAGTTTGACTCTAGTGCCCAGGTTGTAACTTTCAGGCTCTGGAAATGTCCTTTCAATTCAACTGACCTGGAAAGAGAGAAATTGGGTCTTCCCTCCGCTGTCCCAGAGCTAAGGGGTTTCTTTATATCCCCACTGATTCTCCATGTAACATAGCTAAAGAGTAGGCCAAGGGTAGGGGATCTGAGAATTGTATCTGAGGTCACCTGAATTCAACAGGCTATGTTTATTCCTGTTGCCTCCCAAGCATGCTCCCAGAACATTTTATTTTATAGGCATCTGCCTATCTGCTTGGCCTCTGGGGCATAGGGAAAACTCAACTCACTCACTCCAGTGACAATATTTTCAGCCCATCAGGAGCCAACTTTCAGTCTGCAAGAGGACTCCAACTTTGCCAACAACCTAGAATGACCCATTACTTCCCTCTTCCCAGAAGAGATACTAGAGTTTCCAAGAGCCTGACAACCAGGGCAAGTTTTGAAATGGGAGGGCTCCATAGAGAGTCTGGGATAGAAGACTTCTGTCATCCGACATTCTGTTATCTAGAATTTCCTAGGGCTTCCTACTTCTTCTGTATGTTTCCAATGCAATGATGATTGTTTATATCTATAGTGGTGACCCAAAGTCAACAAAGGATGTGGAGGCAGCAAAGAATTAGATCATGTTCAGTGGTGTCTTGGTCTAAAAATATTTTGAGTTTCAGTTCGGTGATCTATATAGGCATATAAAGCTAAGCCATTCTTGATCATTCCTTGATAGACAATCACTCTTGATTCTGGTGATGTGGCACCTGATAGCCCTTGATAAAGCAAATCATTAGACTTTCCAACAAAAAATACTTTAAACTATTCTCTTCGACAAACATTTATTAAATATTTACTATGTGCAGAAAGGCAGTACGGTATAGTAGACAGTGAGGCTTGGAAGGTCTGGGTTCAACTTTCATCTCTGACACACGATCAAATTAAATATTAATTGCAAAGCACTTTGTAAACCTTAAAATGCTATATAAATGGTAGTTATTACTGTTATTACTATTATTATTATTAGTAGTAGTAGTAGTATTGATAATAGTAGCAGTAGTAGTATGGTAGGAGTAATGATGGTGGTGGTAATAGTAGTAGTAGTAGTGGTGGTAGTTGGGTGGTGATAGTAGTAGTAGTGATGCCAGCAGTGGTGGTGGTGGTGATGGTGGTAGTAGTAGTAGTAGTAGTAGTAGTAGTAGTAGTAGTAGTAGTAGTAGTAGAATTAGTAGTAGAAGTAATGGGGGCAATATACTGGCTCTCTGACCTTGGAAAATTCACTTAGGGCTAAGATTATACATTGAAGAGAAGATATAGATCTGCTTTAGTAGAGAGAGTTTCCTCACCTGGAGTTCCCTGTACCAATACAATTTATAAATCCAGTCTCTATCCTATCCTATCATGTGCTGGGCCCTGAGTATACCATGACAAACCAAAAAAATTTCTTGCTGGAACTGGGCCTGGAGGCAGACAGAGGTGGGAGTGGAAGATAAGGGGGGTGAAGCTACATGTACACAGATAAACATATATGAAATAGTTTTAAGAAGGAGAGAATAACTAAGAGCTAAAGGGATCAAGAAAGACTTCCTGGAGGAGGGGACAACTAAGTTGTGCTTTGAAGGAAATTAGGGATTCTGCAGGGCAGAAGTGGGAAGGGACAGCATTCTAGGCATAGGGCACAGCTTGTGCAAAGGCTCCAGAGGTAGAAGATGGGATGCTATATATGATCTGGGAATAGCCAGGAGACCAGCTTGACTGGAAAGAGGATGTTTGAAGGGGAGTCTTATAAAAAAAAAACTGAATACCAGGAAGTTGGAAATGCAGAACTAGAGATACAGGTTTTAGAGTCATCTATGCAGAAGGGTTTGTTGAAATACTAGGAATGATGATTTCTGAGGGAGTAAGTTCAGGCAGATGTTCTTAGCCTGGGGTCCTTAGGTTCCCCCCAAGGAGTTGAGGATAGATTCCAGGGGATTCACGAACATGGATGGGAAAAATTACATCTTTATTTTCACTTACTGCTAACTGTAAATTAGCTTTTCTTTCTATTAGGAATATAGGCAACAGGTATGATTCATCGGTTTCCTCAGATTGCCAAAGGGACCCATGATGCAAAAAAAGATTAAGAAGCCCTGGATTCGATCAGTACCATAGGGAAAATGGGACTCAGGAATGAAACCCTGGGCTGATTTATGACCTAGGTTTTAAAATAAAGAATAAGACGGAAAGGTAATGGGAACCCAACTATGGATGGTTTGACATGACAGGATGAAGGATTTTTTTTTTGAGGTAATAGGAAGCTATGGGCTTTTTTTTCCCCCAATATGGGAGTAACATGGTCAGTTCTATGCTTTCAGCTTCATA